CCAGGAGGAGCGGCCCGCGCCTACCGTACTGTGTGGAGTAGCCGCCCGTCCGCCTAGCCGCCGGCCGCCAGGCGCTTGGGTTTCCGGTAGCGCCCGCTCGTAAACCACTTCATTCATTCATTCATGCCTTTATTCACTCACTCATTCATTAGCATTAATTCCTTTACTTCCTCATTCACTCACTCATTCACTCACCCACCCATTCCATCCACACTTCCATCTCATTCCCTCCTGCCATGATTCATTCATTTATTCCTTGTGTTTTCCCATCATTTATTTTCTCCACCTCTCCACGTGTTCATGCACCTGAACACACATCCACTCAGGTGGGAACATATCTGTCTTGTTTTCCAGTGCGGGGCCCTGCACATAGTAGTCTCCAATAAGTAGCTGTTGAATAAAGGCACACCAGAAGTCTAAAGAGATTATAGGGTGACTTTCAAAGTCTGAATTTTTGGTCTGACATTGTCACTGGCTTGGTGGTGATTCTGAGCAAGTTGCACAAGTTCCTTAAACGACAGGGTGCAAACTCAAGTGTGGGTGGCAGTTGTCGCAGGTGAGCAAGTACAAACAATCCACTGGTTCTCAAGGGTAGAGGGGTATCATCCCACTGGGGAAGCCCCTGGAATTGTGGGAAAGCTGTTTGGGATTATCACAATGATTGGCAGTTTCTACAGGTATATGCAAATCTACAATACAACAAAAAATTGTCCCAGACCAAATACCAACAAAGGGATCCTGTTGAGGAATGCTCAGGCAGGCTAAAGCCTGGTGTGTAGACCTTTAAGATCTGGAAATGACCACCATTATACTGGTATGGTGTCCCAGAGAAGCAGGCTTTCCCAAACTCTGTCTTGATACCTCCCTTCTCCTGGAGGACAAAGGCAAACAAGGATACAATAAGACAAAGCAAGTAAAAGAAATACTGGCTTAGTAGCTGGGGATTTGGTCTCAAACATCAAGTAGAACCTGGGACAGCTGTACTGGACCCAACAGAGGACTCAGTTTTCCTAACCCCCCTTAAAGCTGGCTTGGCACCTGTGGTTCAAGCGGCCAAGGTGCCAGCTACATATACCTAAGGTGGCGGGTTTGAATCCAGCCCAGGCCGCCAAACAACAATGACGGCTGCAACCAAAAAATAGCCGGACGTTGTGGTGGGCGCCTGTGGTCCCAGCTACTTGGAAGGCGAAGGCAGGAGACTCGCTTAAGCCCAGGAGTTGGAGGTTGCTGTGAGCTGTGATGCCACTGCACTCTACCTAGGGGGGACAGCTTGAGGCTCTGTCTAAAAAAAAAAAAAAAAAAACCCTTAAAGCAAAAGGAAATTCCTTGTTCACCTCCATCCCCTGAGTCCAAACCCAAGTTTTGGATTTTATTGCTTTTATTGATGGAAAACTACTCCCTCAAATGACATATGAAAGAGATACCAAACTTTCGTTTCCATGGCTTACCCAATACCTTACTTAGATATCTCACAGATAAAATGCTTGTTTATCCCCCCCTCTGAAATCTATTGTTCCTCCTGGAATCTTGACAGCTCTAGCTAGCTATTGCTCAAAAAATTAGGTGGAATCATCTTTTTTCCCTCATTTCCTATATTACTTATCTATTGTTGCATAACAAACTGATCTAGTATTTTGTGAATTAAGATAATGCACATGTGATCTCATGGTTTCTGTGAGTCAGGAGTCTGGGTACAGCTTAGCTGGGTCTTCTGCTTCACAAGGCTGCAGTAGGAGTGTTGGTCCAGGTCTGAGGTCTCATTTGAAGGCTCACTTGGGAAAAGGTCTGCTTCTAGGGTCACTCCATGGTTGTTGGAAGGATCTTGTTTCTTTCAGGTCATTGGACTGAAGGCCTCAGTTTCTCACTGGCTATGGGTCAGAGGCCACCAGAGGCCATCAGTTCTATCAGGGTAAGCACATGACAAGAGCCAGAGAGACAATGCTAGCAAGATGGAAGTCACAGTTTTCTACAACCTAAATTCAAAAGCAACATCTCATTACTTTGCTATAGTCTACTTATTAGAAGCAAGTTGTTAAATCCAGCCCACACTCAAGAGGGAGGAATTACACAGGGCTTGAATACCAGGAGGTGGGAATTATTGGAAGCCATGTTAGATGGCTGCCTCCCTCACCTCCCAGGCCCAGCAAACCAGCAAGTTCTGTCAAGTCTGCACCCAAAACATAATTGGCATCTGTCCACTTTTCTTCTGAATTGCTGGTAGTGATTGTTTGACAAGGCCAAACTTTGTTCAATTCCTAGTATTGAACAATACAATTCTCATAGTATTCCATGTAAACTGCTCCCTCCCCCCCCAATTCCTCCACTACGACTCTGAGACTCTGAGTCGTGCTGTGTGACGCAGCTGTTCTGTGGCCTAGACTCTACTGCACTTACCTTCTCATCCATCTCATTGCTTCTCCCCGTGCTTTCTTTCAATGCTGAAAACAGAAAGACTTTTTTTTTTGAGTCAGAGCCTCAAGCTGTCACCCTGGGTAGAGTGCCGTGGCATCACAGCTCACAGCAACCTCCAATTGTGGGCTCAAGCCATTCTCTTGTCTCCGCCTCCCAAGTAGCTGGGACTACAGGCGCCCATCACAGCGCGCGGCTATTTTTTGGTTGCAGCCATCATTGTTGTTTGGCGGGCCCAGGCTGGATTCGAACCTGCCAGCTCAGGTGTATGTGGCTGACACCTTAGCCGCTTGAGCCACAGGCGCCGAACCACTAGAAAGATTTTTTAAAAACATAAATTGGATCCTATTTTTCTCCTGCTTACAACACTTCAATGGTTCTTCATAGGTTTTTAAACAAGTCTGAACTCCTCACTATGGCCTCTAAATCTATCCTTTTGTGGGATTCTAGGCTCTGGAAGATGCTTCAGGTTTTATATCTTGAATTAAAGCTACCTCCTGGTCTTTTCTGGCCACCTTCTCTTAGGGGATATTTCTCCTCCAATTTCTCTATTATTTGCCCATTTTGTTTTCTGCACAACATTTACTACAATTTGTGTGTGTGTGTGCGGGCACATGAGTATTGACATGCACACACACACATATATACACATAGATTTCTGTTTTTTAGTTCGTTTTAGGTATGCAGTTGTTGTTTTTATTTTTGTTTTTTGAGACAGAGTCTTAAGCTGTCGCCCTTCGTCAAGTTCTGTGGCTTCACAGCTCACAGCAACCTCCAACTCTTGGGCTTAATCGATTCTCTTCCTAAGCCTCCCAAGTAGCTGGGACTACAGATGCCACAACACCCAGCTATTTTTTGGTTGTAGTTGTCATTGTTGTTTGGCAGGCCTGGGCTGGATTCGAACCCGCCAGCTCTGTGGCTGGTGCCGTAGCCGCTTAAGCTATAGGTGCCAAGACAAGGTATGTAGTTTTTAAGTGAATAGATTATATACTATGGCCCAAAGATGAAAATCTGGAGCTCTATGGTCAGCACATGATAAGTTTTTAATGCCAAATTTTTGGAAATGGTTGTGCCAATTAATATTTCTACCAGTGATGTATGAGGACCCCAGTTTATTCCCTAGTATCATCAATACTTGATCTTATCTGTTGATTTACGTTTAGGCATTCTCATGGGGGGCATAATGGTGTCTTTTTATGGTTTTAATTCTCATTTCACTGATGTTGCATACGATATTTTTAGATAGATAGATATAGATACTAACCTTTTGGATATATTCTTTTGTGAAGTGCTTTTTCAGGAATATGGCCATTTGGGGAATGGGGTATCTGTCTTTCTTATTAGTTTGTGTGTATTTTTATATCTTATGACTATGACTCTTTTGAAATAAAGTCTAATTTGTCAGTCTTTTAAGGTTAGTATGTTTGGTGTTTTGTCTAAGAAATATTGCCTACCTCCTGGCCACAGGTAATTGTTTTATTTCCTTTCAGAATAGAGATACCTTATAGAACTTTCTGTGATGATAACAATATTCAATGTCCGCACCATCCAATCTGGTGCTACTAGCCCCACAGGGCGATTGAGCAGTTAAAATGTAGCTAGTACGATTGAGGAAATGAATTTTTAATTTTATTGAATTTAAATAGCCACATGGGACTAGTAGCTGCTATATTGGAAAGCAGAGTTTTTTTGTTTATTTTTTTTTAGACAGAGTCTCATTCTGTCACGCAGGCTGAACTGCAGTGGCATCATTATAGCTCCCTGCAACCTCTAACTTCTGGGCTCAAGTGATTCTGCTGCCTCAGACTCCCCACTAGCTGGGACTACAGGTGTGTGCCAGGACCTCTGGTTAATTTTTCTATTTTTAGTAGACACAGAGTCTTGCTCTTGCTCAGGCAGAATATCCAAGAAGTGTGGAACAGCTACAGTGATATATGCAACTTATGTGTAATGAGAGTACCAGAAGGAGAAAGAGAAAAGAAAGAAAAAGAAAGATTTGAAGCAATAATGACTAAGAATTTCCCTCAAATTAATGTCAGACATGTTCTTAGTCCATTGTGTGTTGCAAAAACAGAATACTTAAGGATGTATAATTTTTATTTTTGAGAGAGAGAGTCTTGTTCCCTCGCTCTGGGTAGAGTGCAGTAGA